CTCAGCGCTGGAACAGCCCGGGAGGCCCCCACCAGGAGGGCAGCAGGCTCCTGGGTGTGCAGGCCCTCAGAGCCATCCAGCTCTGCCTTCAGGGCCCATGCCGCCCGGCAGGCTTGGGCATCCAGCTCGCCGAGGGTGACAGAGCAGGCCCCACGCCCAGTGCACACCAGGGGCGTGTGGCCAGGCTGTGCTCGCACTTGCCGCTCAAAGGCATCCACGAAGGTGTCAGGCGGCTGTCGGCCTAAGCGTGCCCTGATATCCAGGCCCAGGCGGAGGATCTTGACCAAGTAGGCCACATCAGCAGGCAGCCAGCGTAGCCCTGGAGGTGGCCGTGCAGGCAGCAGGATGAATGTGAGGGCCGCAGCCAACAGACTCAGCCAGTGAAGGTTCCAAGGGACGAGCCAGGGCAATGCCAGCAGGCCCAGGCCGAGCAGTGCGCTGCACATGGGATTCCCCAGGAGCCAATGCAGGGCCAAGGCCACCATCGCCGGCCATACTGGCTGCCCCAGGCCCAGCAGCTGCGGCAGCAGCAGCAGCAGCAGCAGCAGTAGCAGCGGTGGCGGTGCGAAGGCCCGCCACTGCCTGCCACCCATCACACCAGCGCTGTCTTCACAGAAGCAGCTGTGCAGTGTGCCGGCTTGCCTCTATGCCTGGACTCCAGGGTGCTGACCTCTGGCCTCAGAGCCATGCTCCTCCCCCCAGTTGATGGCCTGGTGCTACTGATAGGGGCTTCTGTACCCAGGACTTTGCTCCCTACCCCTCCCTCCACACATTTGCTTTGCTCTGCTTAGTCTTGTGTGACTCCTGCCTGTCTACCACCGCCGTCAGCCCCTCCTTCACCAGGTCTGTCTCCATCTCCACCAGCTCCAAATCCTTAGGGAAAGGCACTCAGGCCAGGAGCCCCCAATGCGCTGGAGGCAGCAGAAGGGGAGGAGAGTGACCCCTTTCTGTGCTGGACGGGAGGGTCCTGTGATGCTGGCTCACCACGAGGGGGTTGCTGTCTTCAACTGCCCCCCCATGGTCAGCCCCAGGGTCTTGGCCATTGCTGCTCTTCCCCACAACCTCCACCCTGCACTCTAAAACTTGGCCCCAGCGGCTAGGGTCGGTATAGCCGGGCTCATATACTCTTAAAGCAGCCTGGCCCAAAGACCTACCCCCAGGATCCCCAAAAGTAAGGTCCTCAGCCAACATGCCATCAGAGTCTTAAGTACAAAGCCCCTTAGGGTCTGGCAGAAAGATCTTGGGGAAGGGCCTCAAAATCTACATCGTGGACAGAGGAGCCATGAGTGTGAGGTGTTTCCCACGTGTTGTGGCCTCTCCTCCCTTTGGATCCAAGAGAACCACACAGCAGTCATGTATGCAGCCCACTCCTGCCCCCCCTGCCCGGTGCAGAGGCTCAGGATGGCAAAGTGACATTCCCGCCCCCTACCAGAAGAGTCCAGGGACCGGCATAGGTGCCGCCCAAGGACAGTAACGCTGAGCCCCGACACCCACAGCCAGTCTGTGGAGGCGAGACACATACAGATCCAGGAGCTCACAGCTTTGTGGTTTAGGCCTGATGGCCCACAGTCCTTTATTACGGAGCAGGAGTCCGAGGCCTGGCCTCATTTTATGATGGGTCCACCGGAGCCTCCTGACGCCTCATGAGAGACCAGTAGCTCGGGGTAGGGAGCCAGGGCTGTGCCCAGTCCCATACTGTGGCAAGCAAGCTGCCCAGACCTCCTCCCACCCCTGCCCCCTCCCCTCACAGGAGGGGGCAAGGCGCGAACCAGAGTGGGTGACACGAATCTCGGGCCGGGCTCCAAGGGTCTGAGAGCCGGCTTCAGACTGGATGTGGTCCAGCTCTCAGAACTGGGTCAGGTCTCTGGCTAGCTCCAAGCTCGCACCACCTGGAGGATCGGAGTACGGGGAGGAGAGAGGAGAGGAGTAAGGCGGACCCGGCCCCTACACGGAGGAGGGGTGAGGGACTGGACGGCCCGGGCTCCAGAGATGGCGTGGTCTGGCGACGGGGTCAGCACCGCCCCCATGGCGTGCAGCGGATTCCCAGCGAGCGAGGCCAGGACCGGGCCCGTCAAGGTGCCGGATGCGCAGCCAGGTGTCGCTCCAGCAGCGCGCGGTGCGAGAAGACCTTGCCGCAGGCGGGGCAGGGCGCGCGCTCGGGCCGGTGCGTGCGCATGTGCACGTTGAGCGAGCTCTTCTGCGTGAAGCGCTTGGCGCAGACGGCGCACTGGAAGGCACGCACGCCGGTGTGCGTGACCATGTGCTTGAGCAGGTAGTCGCGCAGCGAGAAGGATCGCCAGCACACCGCGCACTGGTGCGGTTTCTCCCCTGCGGACGACAGGGCGGGCCACGCGTATGTCAGACCCTCCTGCTCTCCCAGGGCGCCTGTGACTCGCAGGGGCTCCCTCCCCTCACTCCGGGATCTCCCTGTCCAGCAGGGCCACACATTCCACTCCCGGACCACCCTTTACACCAGAGCTTTCCTGCCAAAAAGGGACTCTCACGCATGCCCAGGTACGTCTCTCCCACTTTCTGTCATCCTGGCAGGGTCCCCCTAAATCTTACGGGTACCCTCCCAGCAGGGAACCCTGCCCGTCTGGAATATCTGTTGCCGATCTGGACAGCCCACTCAGGTCTTCCCCTACCTCAGGGACCCTCCCCCTTAACCCATACAGCACCTGACAGAGGGAGATGTTCGGTGGCCTGGCTTCCCCTCTCCTCCCCCCAGGCCCATAGAGCCTTCTGAACTCAGTCTAACAAGACCAGGACCCCAGGCACATCTGCAGCCTTCTTGCTGGAAGCCCCAGTCACCCAGAACTCCCGTGTACTGGCCACTATAGGCTACCCTCCTCACCCAGGGTTGGAGAAGGAGAGGCAGGCAAAACACTTATCTCGACGGCAGGGGATTGCAGGGCACTGCCTGCCAGGAAGTCCCCCAGATTAACCAGATCCAGGCACATGGCTCAGGTCACACATTTCCTGCACAGCCCTTATTCCCAGGCCCCTGGCTTCGCCCCATCCTTTCCAAGGCAGGCAGATTTTAAACTGTGAAATCCATCACTACCCAGCTTAGAACACTGATGGCTTCCCCACCACTCACAGTCAAAACCCGAATTCGTGCCCCCGCAGAACTCTCCCGCCAACCCATTTCACTCCCACTGTGGCCTTCCAGCTCAATTTTTGCTTTTCCTTACAAGCCCAGCAGGCCTCTGCTTTCCATACCCTTGTCCTCCACCTCAGCTCCCAAGAAGCAACCCACCCTCTCTGCAACACTCTGCCTCAGGCTGTGCCTGACAGGCCAGGGTGCTAAGGAACCTCCCAACAGCCTTTGAGTGCCCTTTCCTTCCTCTGCAGCCATGTATTCCTCCTCTCACCCCTGTCCCAAAAGCTCCTGGGGCCCTTATCCTGCCACCTCTGCCAGCTTTCCACCTGTAGACTGGTAAACCCACTCTGCCTTGTTGCCAGCCCATAACCACACTGCCATCATCTAGGGGTTCAAAGGAGGCTCTCTTGAAGCACAGGCTCACCAACCTGGCTACAACTCCCCTACCAAGGATCCATCCCACCTGCACATCCCAGGCTGGCCATAGCTACTAGAGGTTCCACTGCCAGCTTCCCAAAGGCCCAGAGCAGGCTCTTGTCCCTAGCCTAACCTCAGGGTCTTCTTCCACAGAAGCTAGTGCCTGCTGCCCCACATAAGGGGGTTTTCCCCTCCCTCACAAGGCTTGCACTTGTGGGAAGCTCAATTTTGAGTCACCCTGGTGTTAACAAAAAGCAACAGAGCTGGGGGTGGTGACTCCTGCCTGTAATCCCAGCACTTTGGGAGGCTGAAACGAGAAGACTGCCTGAGCCCACAGGTTCGAGACCAGCCTGGGCAACGTGGTGAGACCTCGCCTCTACAATAAGCCAAAAAAAAAAAAAAAAAATTAGCCTGGCGTGATGGTGCGTGCCTGTAGTCCCAGCTACTAGGAAGGCTCAGGTGGAAGGATCACCTGAGCCCAGCAGGTCGAGGCTACAGTTGCTGTGAGTGTGCCGCTGCACTCCAGCCTGGGCGACAGAGACTCCAACTCAAAGAAACAAAAAGGCAACACAACTGGGCCAATGACCGGTGCCCGGTGCCTGATTTCCCCTCCAGCTTAAATCTCCAGTGAGGAGCTGTTCCCTCTCCTGTCCCAACCGGGCTCACCCGAGTGGATGAACATGTGCTTGGTGTAGTTTTTCCGAGAGCTGAACGTCTTGCGGCAGTGGCTGCATTCATAGGCGGGCGGGCTCGGCACCTGGGAGGCGTGCAGCGGTGCCCGAGGGGGCCGTGGTGGGAGCGGCAGATGAGGCTGGGGCCTCCCCCAGTTGAGCACTGGGGGCCGCATCTGGCTGAAGTGCGGGGTAGAAGGTGGGTGGGGGTGCAGGGGCTGGCCCAGATGGTGCGGGAGGGGGTGGGGCCGGGGGCCCAGGAGCACCCAGGTGAAATGGGAATAGTGCGACAGGTGGCCCTGGGGTCTTTACACCAGGCAGGCGGGGTCCGGCCAGGATGCAGTCGGGCGGGACAGGGGTCTCCGCAGGACAGCCTTCGGCGGCAGCACCATCCTCATCATGCCAAGCAGATACGTAGCTGTCTGGAAACACGTCCTCGGCCGCCGCAGCTCCCCGAAGGAAGTCCCTCCCCGCACCGCCATAGTCAGCGAGGCCGGAGGGTGCAGGAGGGTCCTCGCACGCACTGTCAACAGCTGCAGTGAGGAAGCCAGCTGCGCAGTCTGGGAAGGAAGGGGGCGCCTGGCCCTCACCCGGGCCACCACCTTCGCCGTCTTCAACATCGGTGTCTTCATCAGTCTCCTCCTCGTCATCGTCCCCTCGGTCGTCAGGGGCCACAGACAGTGCGGGGTCAGTGTCAGTCCCCTCTGCCTTGGCGGGTGCAGGGGGTGCGGGCAGCTGCAGACGCGCAGGCTGGCGCTGCTTGCGGCTGTGTGCAGCGCCGGGGTGCCCCAAGGGACGCGCAGCTAGCAAGTGGCGCAGGCGGTGGCGCAGCTGCGCGGGTGCGAGCGGTGGGGGCACAGGCGCAGGCAGGGGCGCGGGTGCAGGGGTGCCCGGGGCACGAGCGCGCGCGATTATCTGCGTGCACTCGTCGATCACCGTCTGTATGCGAAGCACCGACGCAGCCGTGAGCACCTGCAGCGCTTCGCCCTGCGCCACCACCAGCGAGCCGCTGTACAGAAACTCCACGAGTTGGCGCACCGTCTGCGCGGGCACCACCGGCGGCACGCGAATCTCAGAGTGGCCCAGCAGCAGCTTGTCCTGGAAGAAGGGCGAGCCGGCGGCCAGCACGCAGCGGTGGGCACGCAGCGAAGCCTCGCGGATGCGCACGGTCACGTCGCAGAAGTGCCCGCCTAGCCGCTGCCCGTTGAGGGTCTCCAGCAGCGAGCGTGAGAAGTTCTGCAGGTGGATGTGGTGCACTGCCTCCGCCGCCGCCATCTGCACTGAATGAGGGTGAGCATGGGGAGAGGTCAGCCGAGGATGCCCCTCTGCCCCAGCGCCTCATCTCCTCGCCCCTTGCCTCAGGACAGGGCCCAAGGATTCACCACAACCCCAGGCCTCACCAACCTCATGCCTCCCAAGCAGCCCTTCACAGTGCCCATTCCCAACGCGGGACACGCCAGGACTCCCCCCTGCACACTTCCCCAGGTCATCTGCTGCGCCCTCCACCTGTGCAGACCCCAGCACACCCCCAGTAAGGGCTGGGGATAATACACGTCTGCCCCTCTCCCAGACTTGCTCATTGCCCCGGGGCAGGCTTGGTGTCTTTCTCATGGCTCACCCATCCCATCCCAACTCCAGTAACCTTAAGCCTCCTGGTGTCCCCCTCTAAAGGGGCAGCCCTGTATAGAGGAGGTGGAGAAGGCCAGGTGTGGTGGCTCACACCTGTAATCCTAGCACTTTGGGAGGCAGAGGCAAGGGGATTGCTCGAGTCCACGGGTTTGAGACCAGCCTGGGTAACTTGGCAAAACATCGTCTTGACAATAAATCAGAAGAAGCCAGGGACTCCCGTCCATACTGGTTAATCTGCCTCACCCAGAGCAGACCTTGCTCTCCACCCAGCTAGCTCCCACTCCTGGCACGCATGGCTCCTTTTTGGTCTCCCTTCACCACATGTCCCCAGTCTAAGGCCTTGTGTATGCCCAGGGCTACTGCCTCAGAACCTGGTTACATAAAGTAGTATATTCGGAAGTATCCTTTGCAGGAGGTGGGGTGGCATGACCTGCCTCCTGGCAGAGCGATTAGGGTGTGCATGATCACAGAGGACTGAGGGGAGAAGGCTGAACAGATGCCTGATGGGAGATGAGTACATGGTCCCTGGCAGACCCCAGCCCAGCAGACAGGAAGTTGCCCCTGCAGCACTAGCTTTTTGGAGTTTTGTTTTTTTTTTGATTTGCAGTCACTCTGTTGTCCAGGCTGGAGCGCAGTGGCATACTCACGGCCACCGCAGCCTCAACCTGCTGGGCTCAGACGATCCTTCCACCTCAGCCTTCCGAGTAGCTGGAATTACAGACATGCGCCACTATGCCCAGCTAATTTTTTGATTTATTGTAAAGACGAGGTCTCGCAAAGTTGCCCAAGCTGGTCTCGAACGCGTGGGTTAGGCAGTCCTCTAACCTCCGCCTCCCAAAGTGCTGGGATTACAGGCATTATCACCACAACCGGTTGCTTTTCGCAGTCCTGATGGGGCCTGGGGGTCCCAGAGTGTGGGTGTGGCATAGAGAGAAGCAGGAATGAGCAGGGACATGTGACCGGCTGGGTGGATGGAGCAGAAGCGACCCCAGAGCTGCATGGCTGAGCTACCCAACGCCTCCTGTGGCTGTGTGACTGGGCACTAACCACCTTCAAGCACTGGAAAGGGGAGGGGGCGGCCCCCAGGAGGCTCTGCTACTACCCCCGTGGCAGGTGACCCACAATCCTTAACCTTGTCTTCCCTTCTGTCAAGCAAGGGACATGATGCTCCACTTGTCCTGGACCCAGACCGCACACATCTCCAGCTAAAGGAGAGTCGGGCACAGGACGCACCCTGACACGCGCACACTCTCCACCATCACACAGCCCCAAGGGCCCCCCCCCACTGAATGCGGCCCCTACACGCTTGCGGTCTCAGACTCAACCCCTCTGCTCCTTGTGCTCAAGCCGCCTTCCTTCTGCAGCAGCCAAAACTCTCCTTCCTTGCATGCCCACATTTGATCGCCCAGACCCCTTCTCACACCTCCCCTGCCCCTGCTGCCACTGGTCTCCTCCGCGCCTCCACCTCCGGCTTTATTCCCTCCACGGCAGCCAGGGGGAGCCTGTGCGGACCTAGCCGACCGGCACAAACACCCACCCCGGCTCAGAGCGTTCCACGGCGAGGAATTCCTCGCAATTCCTGGATAAAGCCGAGCCGTGGCACGCGCAAAGGCTCACCTCTGCCAGCAGCACCCTTCTTCTCTGTTAAGCCCACATCGGAGGACTTCACGTCTGTGTCCGGGCGATGGGCATGCGAGCCTGTGCACCCACCCCCCGGCCCGGGA